GCACATTTGTTGGCTATTTTGCATCCTCCAAACGAAGTGTAAATTAACGATATGTGTTTAGATACACAGTCTGTACTTAACCCTGAATTCCGGGAGATTATTGATTGTGAACGCTTCAATGACATACGATACTACTTAGTATTTTGGAAAGACGGGAGACTTCCGTATAGATGCTTCAAATTTTGATGATCTCAATGTACTGCTTAAACATATCAAAGAGGCAAAGGCTAAATTACTTATGATAAACCTGAACTGCCTCAGGGAAAAAAAATCTGCAAAGGAACAAAATAAGTCTTCCAATCTCAAATTGAAGACTAAGAAAGTACTTTAAGTTTCCTTCGCACTGTGCTTGCACAGGGCTGAATTGGTATTTGCTCTGGGACAGACTAAAACCTATGTATTCAAGGGCAAATCAGACCTAAAATACTTCGACAAGGAGGTCATAAATATTGTGAATATTTAACTTGGTCGTAACATCGGAACCGAATTTAGATTTAGAAGATAAGCACTTAACATAATTTGACGCATGCTTACAAATAATAAACACTACTGACACAGTTCTGATGACTCTTATGAAACCCTATAGTCTATGAGAATTCAGTGATAGACCATGATCCGGGCCTATTTTTGTGTCCTGGTGGGGGGTTAAAAACAGAAACAGTTTCGCTTTCCTTCCAGCAAACGAGATTGACACAAACTCTACAAATCTAGAAGCTAGTGTCAAATCTTTCTCATGCTGACCAATAGACTGCCCATGATCACATACACGAAACGAGATAGAGCTTACGTTCTTAAGCATGATCTTGTACGAGGTAAAATCCTTAACAAGTTAGGGTAAGTCCACAGACAAATGGTTAGTGTTGGTCAGTCTAAACACCAACGAAAATGTTAAAAACACTATTCCATTTCGGACGGGTATAAGTAATTAATTGGCAACTATGTATAGGCACCTAGTGAGATAGTCACGGGCGGCAGAATAACTACTTTAATATTGACTAGTTACTGACTCAAATGCGAGTCATCTATCTGCGAGCCAGTTTTCATTTCGGAATTACGCTATTTGATTCTATTGAATACCTGTCGCTACAGCTGTTCGCGATTCGACATATTAATCTTCCAGAGCCAGGAATATCCTGTAGGCATCGGTGTACTGGAAGTGTCGAAGGCAGGAGTTGGAAAACCTTTACTCAAGCCCTCATGTCAAATTTTCACGGTCCACTGAAGTACGTATAAGTGCGATCCTGGCTACCGCGTGGAACAGACTTAGAGTTTTATAGTCGACAGTATTTTGGCTCTGGTTTAGGTTGAAACCAACCTCTCGACCCCAAAAAGCCAACGGAATGCGGCAACGGCTAATTAATCTGAGTGATGATCAGCTTGATGAAAATCGCAATTCGATATTATTGAATGATTTGATGGGTATGCATGCTCACTGGGTTTTAAAATCAAGTCACTGCCATCTGTGAAAGCTTGTGAGATATTTGAAACGTATTGTAGCTCGCTATGGATGTTTGATATCTAGCAGCTTACTCTGTACACACACATTCATTTTTTTGCACACAGTTCTTTCTCATGACAGCCCTGTGGATTGTACTTTGCAGTAGAGTGTCGTAACAAATTATATTTCATCCGCGCTGTTAATTCCAATCGGTACTTTGATTTTCAGGTTGTGAACTATAATACCCAAAACACTTTTACAATATTTGTACTTCACCCTTGCACCCTATGGCACTATTTGACTGTTTTTATAAAGTGGAATAATGCTCCCGCGACTAAAGCAAAACTATACAATCTTGTATATACTGCTTAGTATGGAAACATGTATATCGTTGTAGCTAGTCATATATTTGCATATTCAGAAGTGGACTCTCGATAGAGGCACATCATTGTGCTTGTCGTAAGGATATAAAAACGGTTTCTTGTCTCCAGGCCTATTTACCAAATTCACGTGCTTCGATTAACAGTTTGTGTTTTTATTGCTATCTTCCGATTTCACATCGATGGCTCAATTTGAAGCTATTAGGCTTCGGAGTGAAAAATCAGAAATCACCAAGTATTTTTATATTAAGCTGGGCCAACGTTTGGAATCTGTTCGAATCATTCTTCAAGAACGAGAATTTGTACTATACATACAATAGGTAGTATGACGTGACGGCGTGCCTGTCGGTTGAGGTTTGACCTGCAGATGACTCATATATGTCTTGTTTACGTCAACTATAACATAGGGTTATGTGTAGTCTTCATTCACATTCTGTCTGTCTGTCTATCTGTCTGTCTGTATTCCTAACATAGCTCAAAAAATAAAATCATCTATATATGACAAAATAACAAGAAACGACCGTTGCTGCTACCAATAATAGTGGTTCATGACAATTACATCCACTAAATTAACATGATTTCTCAAGACGATTTTAGCTCGTATGTTATATATGTTATTAGTGCTTTGACATATTGAGCTTTTGAAAGAAATACCGATATATTTGTTTATTTATTTATTATTTAATCTGGATCACATTGATGAAACCTGCTTCTGTCAATTAAATATATGGTGGATTGTGTTGCACTCTATTGAAATAGTCAGGTTTAACCGAAATTCTAGAAACTTACATGGTTCAACAGGAATATAGTAGCCCTATTTGGGCTAGTTCCAAACAGTTTATCTATATTGAATTTATTATTATTATGAACCATCTCCTCCATTCCGATATTCTGATGCTGTGTGGCAAACTTTTGTATAAAACCTGGTCTTCTCGGTCGCGAGTGACGATTGTAGTGAATTTTCAGTGGACAATCGGCGAACGCCACTCCATCAAATTGAATAAAAATTTGGTATTTGCCTCAGAATACTTCGATAATTCGCACCATTTTTTTGTGCATTTTGTACTCACGGCATGTGTGTAAATCAATTTAAACGGGAGTATGTGATTCGAGAATCTCTACCCGGGTGAGAAAAACACCAACCGGAAAAGGTTTTTAGCATTGAAATACCTCACTCCCTTGACGTCGGAATTAACCACTTGTCTATTTGAAGTAAAATAGAGGTCAATTCAACAAGTGTATGTATTGACCTGCTTCAATTTACATAGGTAAATTACCTTTTGAACATTGTCTTTATAGGCTATGAAAAGTTGTGTATATGTAGGCATAGAGATTCAATATTTAAAGAGGGACTACTAATACCAGCCACACAATCTGAGTGAGGTACAAAGAAATCCAAAAGGGTATAGGCTAGCAACGAGACAAGTATAATAAAAAAAGCATTGTCGTGCTCTGTAATGATTTCAGCTAACTGGAACTATAGTCTTCTAATTCATAGACACTCGTCCGAGCGAATCTACATAAGGCATACTGGGGGATGCAGTATAAAGTTTTGCATCTACTATTAATGATTTTTGAACCGTAAATCATTGTTCAGCGGAAATATTACAAATAACGAACTAATTCTAATTTTCAACTCCTGACATCAAATCAAGCACTAGAAGTCACTCAATACAGACAGTAATCGAAATGACTGATCTCAAATAGAAGTTGTTGCTAGGATTGGCTGAACCAATCCATAAAAGTTGGCAATGACTTTTGTATTTTTTTTTGCATTTGTACTAAACATCTCAATTCTTGGTTAACACTTTCATATTAATCTCTCATTGAAATCAGTTTAAAGTATGTCATGGTCGAACGTAGCATGTAGCATATCCGACTGAATTTATATATAAAGGAGAGTTTACAATTTCCCATTGTATTAAACACCTCAATTCTTGGTCATTATTTGTGGGATTTACAGATTTTCCAGGAAAAAAAACGCGATAAAAGCCCATAAAACGCAACCATATTGATGTGTTTCGTTGAAGTGTGTCATGGTCGAGCGCAGCATGTGGCATATCCAACTGAATTTATCACTGAAAGCGTATACCTAGAAGTCCCTTCTCAATTTTTTTGTGTCACAGATCTGGTCACGCTAAAAGCCATGATAGGTTAAACGTTTCTCATTCACATTTTAACGCATAGAAAACGGGTACAGATCAGGAATTCTAAAATTTTCTCATCCTAAATATTACTGCTTCATTGTGCGTTTAACGCTTTCAGGTCCCTCTGTCGCTTGCGACAGGTTTATATCCGAACAAGAGTTAGAATTTTCGCTTTTGTAGTGATCAAGACAAATCTTGGTTATCACTTGGGGGGTTTACAAATTTTCCATAGAAAAATGTGATATAAGAGTCCATAAAACACTATCATATCGATTTGTCACGTTCAAATTAGTTTGAAGTGTGTCATGGTCGAACTTTGCTTGTAGCATATCCAACCGAATTTATATACAAACAAGAGTTTCGCTTTTGCATTTTTTCCAAAAGAGCGACGTCTAATTTTCAACTGAAAATAGAAAGACATTTCTCATCAACTCCACGAGCGTATTCAGTTGACATATCTGGATGTTCGAAGGTACTTTAATTTTCTCTTATGTTGTTTAAACCAAATAAGCCTAAAGTTTTGGTAAAAAAGCATTCAGTCGGCGAGTTCGCGTCCTACGCTTCGCTAACACACACACCCAATTTTTAGTCCAGAATCAAAGCGTAGAAAGCAGGAATATCAGTTGTAGACTCTCACGATTAAACCGAGTTTAAAATCAAAACAATTGAGATAGATGCAAGATAATAACCCGACTGATATCCTGGGTAGACATACCCGATGACGACTTTGTCATCAGGCTTATTCATGCGATTTTTGCTGACTAAAAAAATTTCAACGAGCTGTACGCTGTTGAGTGCAATTTTCTTAGGATTAACTTTTTGAATGAACTCCTGGAAGTTAATTTCATTGTGCTTTCTTTTATACTATCACGACTTGTTTATTTAAACTAGCTTGCCATATTTTGCACCCCTATTGGGAATGTCTGAAATGATGTTTCATCTCCTTGACGGATAACTTGAAAGTGACCTTGCAAGTTATCAGCATCAAGTCATGATTTTGGACAGTTTTTAACGAAACGAACTCACCACTTCAAAGCTTCTACTAAATTGATTTTATTTGATATTGCATCGACGTGGGTGTTTTAATACTCTTACAAACATGCTAAACACTATAGCATTTATAGTGAGTAGCCAACGAGTATTTTTTGGTTAGAATGCCGATATACAAGAATCACATAGGTGATGGCATCAACTGCTGTCCGCGCTACTGGTACCGTACTCCTCTATTTTCATTGGTCTCCATTCCCAGTCTCTTCTTGTAATCCTCCTCAACGCGCTCCTAAACAAACACAATGAAAAACGGATCAGGCCAAGTATCGCTACCAGGAGCAAGTAATCATAACTACTCTGCATACGCATTTTCATAGAACGCATAAACGCACGCAACTAGGCGAATTTTGACAACTGATTCTGTCTGACTATGAAAGCATGTTTGGTGGACTCCAACCAAATTCCGCATATATACTCACATTTATCCACAACGTGTAGACGCACAGATGCGATGAAACGTAGTCACATAAGTGAGTGTCATACATGAGCACTATTTGTTGGCATGCATCGCTCCCAAAAGTCTGACGAGCATACACACATATGTATGAAGAGTGAATTATGAGGTAACTACAAATAGGTCTAGGTAGGGCAAATTCGAGTGAACGCGATATATTATGGCAAAGAATGTAAAACAGAATCCTAACATACCCGCATAACCTGAGACATGGCTAATAATTCTTTTCGATCGATAACACTCTTTGCGTCCGCCAGTGCTTTCTTCCGTTCTTGTCTGAAATCGATATAGTGAAAGAGGGACGTGTAATACAGCCATTGGTTATTCTTGGATCTTGATCTAAACATAATATTTGTCTGTCGAACCAAATGATCCACAGCGATATAAGATCACTGATATACCTTAGCAATTCTTCATCGTTAAAGGCGAACGGATCGGAATGCAGCATAGCAGCGATTGATCCGTCTTTTCCAGCGTCACCTTTTGCAACCTATAATGATGGGGAATCGCACACATTGTTCGGTAAACTTTTTTTCATCGCAGGCAGCTATTTGCTAGGCATATATATACAGCTCAAAGATGGATTGTTTATTTTTTATGAAAGCATAGATTTCCAGGTGTATACATGTGAACAATACTCGCATATATCAATTGACAGCGAAGTTCTGGTTTGTTGTTTGTTAGTATTGATCAGGGGATACGAGAATTACGACGACGTCATGTATTGATGTTGTCGACAGATACGAACACTGTTTGCGTACAGGCACGTCTAAATGATACATATAATTATGAGTCGGCACATGCGTATACGTGGCACTTTGAAGCTATGTGCCTGCACACTTATATTCGTGGCACTTTGGATAAGTATGCGATACTAGTAAGTGCAAACCCAAATACACGAATAAAGACAAACATATGGACATATTAGATATAGTTCGCCACCGTCCAACGAACTGACTACACGATAAAATAGAATTTAATCAGACAATAAATACGTATACAGAATAGAGAGATACATAATGGACACATTCACGATTGTTCGTGTCTGTCGAAAGAATTGGCCATGCGATAAACTAAAATTAAAACAGATATTAGAAACATAAACAGCGATTATCCATGTTTCTGACTGTACAGGCTAAAGCTGATAGGTCTCTCCGCGACATTTCTCTAATTCAGCCCCACACGTATACATGACGAAAGGTAGGAACCTGCACATTGCAAATTATTACCTCAGCGTATGAAAGTCTAAGCCAAAACCTCCTTTCTGATTATTCGAATTGTTTTTCTACACCATAGTCGTAGCATACCAGCCTTTTGAGAAATTACGCCACGTATATACATATATCGATGCAGATTGACTTATATAGAAGCATTCGCGAACGTGTACGTACAATGATACGTCAAAACAAATGATTAATCACGTGCTTGAAACGTCAAGAACACCAACATTCCTGACATAGAATAAATAAAGTTGCTCAAAATTACCTTTGCGTTAGTCCACTTCTCTAGATCGTAGTACTTTTTATGTGGTAGAGTGGCCGTGTTGTAACTCTGTAGATGTGAAGAGAACTTAGAGGTTAATGAAACACGTGCAGACAATGCTTTGCTCACATAATTTAAGGGGGCTGATAACTTAGAAGTTCGCAGAAGTGTGCGTGGAAGCAAAATTTCGATCAAGTCACCTCCATATAATCCTCATAATGCCCCCGTAAATCTCCTCTCGACACCACGTCTGGATCGAGCCCCTTGACCTCTTGAACATAGGCCAACAGTTCTGGCTGTTTAGACCACATATCACTGTCTCTGATGATCCCGTACTTGCCGTAGGACCTATCAGAGGCATTGCCGCTATTGTGCTTTGGTTTTCGCCCCTTCTTCTTCTTGTCCTTCTTATGCTTCCCACTCTTCTTTTCAGATTTGTGTTTCTTATGCTTCTTGTGTTTCTTGTGCCTTTTCTGTTCAAATCGCGAGGCATTGAGTTATTTATAGCCATACCTCGAACAGTTCAATACGAGAGGTTTCTTGAATAGCGGATTGATTTTGTTGATGAATTTGAAATCTACTCTGATCGGAAATGGATACGGCACTTGCTCCACACTGCGAGACCAAGGTCCGGATCGCTGCAAGTTCCGTACAGTATATTCGTGTGGAGTGATAGAAATTATATATAGGACATATCCACCCTCAATTGACAGCTGCCATTATAGAAAACAACTTTCAAAGCAACAGTGAACACAACAATTGCGGCCAACTCGTCGGAGGCATACTTCAGCCTGTTGTATGATCGTTCAATTGGCATGGCTACAATTTGTATACATTTACATATCGTTAAACAATATTGGGAATTAAAAGGAAGTGTATTTATTCAGCTCCAAAATAGATTGATATATTAAACAAATGTCTCAATCAACACATCAACGGTCCAGGACGGTCAAAATCAGGAATATATATATATATGTGTGTGTGTATATCTTAAGGTATGTATATGTATGCATAAATTCATGTTTGTATGTATGTATATATAGAAACGTGTATAGAAAGTTGGATGTATCTATATGTGCACACATACACACACACACACACATATATATATGTGATACCTATCTATGTATGGTGTGTGTTTTGCAATATTATTCTCTTTATAATGCTAAACGTTGTATACATTCACACGTGATTAAATAGATATGACGAACATTGAAAGATTGTATAATTACACAGTAAAAAAAAATTGATAAAAACAAAAATCTCAATTTTATATACATATATATATATATACATATATGTATACATATATATATATATATATTAGTACACACACACACACACACATGCATATATATATATATATATATATATAAATATAGATATAAATATATGTGTGTGTGTATGTATGATGTATGTATGTACGCATATATGAGTGAATGCATGCATGCATGCATATATATATATATATATATATATATATATATATATATATATATATTTATATAATGTGTATATATACATATAACAACAGATAAATGCAGATACTGATACTCAGAATAAATTACAGCACACCTTTCGATCATCTCGTTTGTTTCGTGCCTTCCTTGTCTTCTTGTCTGCCTTGTGCCGTTTTCTCCGCCTGCTATCGCGACTGCTGCTCTCACTGCCACTACTGCTGCTTCCGCTCCCGCTATCGCTATCAGTGCTACCACTTTCACTCCCATCGTCACTGGTTGAGTTTGATCTCGATCTGACAGACCTTCCTTTGTTTTTATACTTAGCCTGTGTCCTTAATCTTGACCTTGACCTTGATCTCGAACTTGACCTAGTTCGTGACCTGGGCCTTGGCCTTTTCTCAGAGTGCCTACTACGCACCTTCTTTTCCGGTATACCATCTTGAGACCTTGCACTACTATCAAATTCGGCGTCTCGATCAGCATCACCGCTGCGTGGATCTCTCCGCCTCCTCACACTGCCACTGCGACTTCTACTGCGACTTCGGCGTCGGTGGCTGGTGTCTCGCTCACCCCGTATATTGTGTTTTCGTTCACCGCTGCCACCTCTGCCATACCTGCTTCTACTGCGAGGATAGTCTTGGGAATTATCTCTGTGGCGCTTGCTATTGTGGTCACGCTTGGGTGATCGTGTATCGTGTTTCGCACCACCTTCCGTACCCCCATCATCTTGATCACGCCTGGGTGACTGCTTGTCATCAACAGAACTTGTTGATTGTCTATCCCTACTACCATGCCTGGATAATCGCTCATCATCATCCAGCCTTGGTGAGCGTCTACTACTACCCTCGCCCATGATTTCAAAACGTACTTGCACGGTGCTATTGAGGAAACTATGTAGTCGCCTTGTTTGTGTGTCTGTCTCATGTAGAAGGCTAAATATGTATATTTACACATATTCCGATTTCAGGCCGTCAGGCGTCAGCTGTCATGCGTTTCTCAATCTCGAGTCTTCTAGTGTGGCTATAATTTTTTTTTACAATATTGCGGCAAAGTGCACTTTTGAAAATTGATAACGATGTCGCTTTTTTAATTTCGGGAATCGAGCGAGGGAATGTGCATTCGAGTATTGCATAGAGCATTCTAAGTATGGTTTAGAAGGCAATGAACTGTATGCCTGTCCCATATGTAAATACCTCCGGTTATCGTACCCGGTTAAATCACACTATTTGTCCTGAAAAACTTCCACCTCACAGCAATAGCAAGCCTTGCTACACTTGCTACAACTCAGGGGTACTTTTGAGCGGTCTTTACAGTAAAATTACGCTCCTTACGATTGTACCGCTCTAGAACCTCTGCCAACCTTTGGGTTTAAAAAATTCAATAATAAGGGGTTCAGGGCATATCAATAGTAAGGAATTGACAGAACACATCAGTACTATGATTTGTTGTAATTTTTAGGTCTTAAAATGCTATTGGGCTATTGGCATAGATTAGATTCGGCAGCTATTGTGATCACGGGAGCGTCAAGTTTCAAGTTCTGACGAAGGTGAGCGGAGCTGCGTAGTTGTAGTCCTGGCCAAATTGTATACCGGACAAATTCTGCGAAAATGTAAATAGCGTATGCTATATTTGCCCGTGTCTTTTCTTTTGATGTAGATAAAGCTGACTTGATTTAGTTGGTTAATTCGCCGACCAATTTATGAGGATTTCATGCCTGTGTGGAGATTCATCACGTATGAAAGCGTCACATTGAAAGAATGACTAAAGAGCAAAACCTAGAAGCCCGATACAGAGGTACACGAAGCGCGCATTGTCTTTTGAAAAGAGTTTATTTCTCTTAGTGTGGACTGCCCTATGTATTAACTTCGGCTTTGTATCAGTACTTTCTTTCGCAAAAATGCGACGCAATCAAGGACTATGCAGGAGGGAAAGCGAAGTCTTCAAGAGCTATGCAAAAGGAAAAGCGAAGTCTAAACTATATGTGGGTGCGTCGATTGTGATTTTTCTCCTATCCGAAGCTTAACCCCATAGTAGTCACAGATTTCCTCATCCCAATGCGCACGGACGCGATGTATAAATATGTTCCCGCGTTGTGTCAAATCTACAGAATGTCCTCTATCTCTACATCGGTCTGATTTGGTGAAATGATATATGCGGCGACTGTAGTTGTTGGCCAATTCCAACATTAGTACAATTCCGATGGTAAATGCGCGTTATATGCTCTGTCCAACACATCGCCAACTCAGACATAGCGGCCATACTTATTTCAGATACTGTAGGTCGATTTTTAACTCACATTTGTACGTGGGTGTCATTCCTCACCGACTGAACTGTCCAATGGATTGCGACCTCTCTTGTTACGGGGCAGACACTCCGCTCGGTTCGTCAGCCAAATAGTGCTAGCAATCTCCCTTACCACTCATTAAAGATGGCGTTAGAGAAGACAGCGATCGCGACTCGTCACTAGTCTCCGCTATCCGAACACCTGTATAATTAATCGTTCTGGGACACTATCACATGTGATCACGCTTTCCGCGCGCGCAATACCTTCGCATGGTAGTCGTCCATCTCACCTTTCTTTTTCAACCCGTGGTGAACCACCAAGTTGTCTTTGACATAATTCTCGCGATAATTCAACAGAACTCTTCCATTTCCGGCATGTGTGGCATGGAATTTACACGCCTCGATCATGAGCCCCGTACCAACGTCCTCTCGAGGCATATATATGATATTCGGCATTACTTTAGCCATACACTGACGTGCTCGCAAAGAGACCGCGTACCCAACCCCGCTGTGATAAGGAGGGAAATCATCGCGAGGATACATATCTTCTGAAAGATAGTACTTAGTAGTGTTCTGACGGTATGGCACTGAGTGGAGAAACAGACGGCCCCAGTAATCTGCATGTGTCCGCTTTAGTTGCTTTAACATACGATCATAAAATAAATAAGAGTCTTCATCTGTTTTGACGGCCCATTTTGTAGTCCAGTATTTCGAACTGATGGCGAACCATACCCTAGACTTGACCGCAACTGCTCTGCCCCATTTTTCCTCCAAATCGATTAGAACAATGTCCTTGTAAAGATTGTACTCATCTTCGGGCCATGAGCCGTTGTTCTTCGCCACCAGGAAAAACAATCGATTGGTCAACCCCGCGCCCCACGTTCGTCGGATCGCCGCTCTTCCGTCAGCAGTAATAGTCAGAGGTGCAATCAGAATACCTTCGATATCAGGTTCTAGTACGTGCACTTTGTAGTCAACAGTCAGATCAGAGAAGACCTGGACAGACCCTGATTTCTCTTGCGAGTTGCTTGCTATGTCAGCCTGTAGATTCTCATTTGCGACCAAGTCTGGAACATCGACGCTCTCTTTTTGAGTTTGATCTTGCAAAACATCAGCAGTAGATTCGATAACGGAGTCGATCCTGATATCTACGTACTTGTTACTATACTCAGCAGACACATTCGCACTATCTGTCGATAGTGTGTAATACAGCGCACATGAGAACATTATGAGACATATCAAATAGAACTTCCAATCAGCCGCTTTGAAAATCATCATGAACTCGCTGATTTGATGGACTCACTAACTTACGATTGTAGCCTTAATTTACCTAGTATAAACACTGTATACGGCTAAAGCTTCCACTGTATAAGATTAAAGCTTCAATTGATCTTCTATCCCTCACGCATATTGTGCGTGCCGACGTACGCCGGTTCACTTTATATATTAAAAGTAAAATATGGTGTGAATGTATGTAGTTTGTGGTTTGAATGTATGTGGTGCAAATGCCAAATCTGTGTAATGTGACCCCTGGCCGCGGACCTTGGTCCCAACCCCCTTGGAGTCACGGACCATATTGTAATATTTTTATTTTCGAAACCTGTATACAAAAGTCTCATGTCGGTCTTGTCAACAAATGAATCTGCACATTTGTTATTTATAAAAAAATGAAGTTTTAGTTAGCTGAAATTGATTGATCGCAAAGTTACAGGTTAATCCAATGCAGCCAATAATTTAGGTCGTTAGAAAACACCATGCCCAATCATTTGTTTCCCCTTATGATTTTTTTTAACACTTTTGTTCTTTTCATAAAAGCCGAAAACCCGATTTTATACACAGCGACCCAATTGAAACTGTCCCCCAATAATGTATTTGACGACAAGAAATCATAACCACAATTGGGTCCAAATGATCATCAAATTTCATAAATACACAAGACGAGCCTACTAAGAGTCTCAGAGAGAGAGAGGGACTAAAAATAATACACGGCAGGAACCAGGTCCTTCCCGGGGGGGGAGGATCATCACAATTTATTTTCTTATCACGCAAAATAGATTTTGAGAGCAGTTTGAGCCCAACGCAAGTCGCAACCTATAGAATATAGATCAACAGGATGGTCTTTTTAAGAAAGGCTAAATTTTGGTGCGGACCATATAAAAAAATCGTGCAGCCAATATGTCGTTTGACATTCCCAGACTTTTGAAGCGGTATATTGGCACTAACACCGGATCCAACGGCGAAAACCTCTAAAAACTTGAAATTTTGACCTTCCGGCCTCAACTTCTCAAGACAACTCGTTTATAGGATTTTTTATTCCCCCCTCGGGCCCCCTGTGTGCACTGTGCTAGACTAGCAAAACAAGTGCCGAAGAAGGTTCATTTCACCTCGAGTGTTTTAAACACTTGGGCCTTCAAAAGGCCATTTTAGCTAGAGTATAAACATTAGGCCTCCACATGTCCAATATGTCGTTTTCCGAAACTCATCGGTTTTAGCATCATCGGCCAAAAGCAGCATTTCATTGTGGGAAAATTTGAACGGCTAGTTTTGGAAATAAATATTCGGCTGAAAATCAGGGTAAACGACCTGGTTTTTACTGCTGTGCACCTTACAATTTTCTGATGGGCTACCAGTCCAACCACAATATTTACGTTCTACGCTATACGTTGAATGGTCTCAAGTGTATTTTGTCTCTCCCATAGCGTTAAAAATATCAAAACTTTATACGTTTACCCCCCCACAAGGCACAAGAATAACGCGAAAATCATATTCATAAATACATACCCAAAACACAGAGAGAGTGATAGACTGATAGTGAAGCCTGAGCCTTGAAAGTTGAAGACATCCCCCCAGCAGAGAGAATGAAAAGGAGTGAATCCTCGGGGCGATTGAATCCAGTCCTGACTCCTGACAGAGTGATCGTGATAAGTGGAAGCCTGTAGGAAAACGAGTGATCAGTGAATCCTCGGGTTCGAAGGCTTATCATTCCTGAATCCTGTCGGCCTGAGCCTGACACTCAGATTGACGCCTAAGAGTCCGAGACTAGTGAGACAGGAGTGAAGTCTTGACCCTTGACTCCTGGTACTGACTCCTGATGCCAGACGAGGGTGTGAAATATAATGTCAATAATGTCACAAAAACACTATTGTTGACACTATATTAGTTTTGTTTGATCAATAAAAATACAGAAGCATTTTTCTTTAAATTAATTTATATATTTATACATATATTTATATATAAATATGTATATATGTATATTTACATATA